CAGTAAGTGATAGAAACAGCAGAATTTTAGGATCAAAATGATAGATGGGAGGTGCGTTGTGAAGTGCACACTGGCGTCATTTAGTGGTCAAGGAACAACAATAGAAGCAGTCGATGTGCTTAATTTTATTATAAGGATAATTGAATCTCATTCCATCGAGATACTCCGTTTTCAGAAGATCTGTTCACAAGATTATCTGATTTGATGACTATTGTTTGAGGAACTTTTGTAGATGCGCCTACATTTTTTTGCATGTTTCACATGCTAATTGCATGTCCTTATAAAAAAAAAAAACAAATTAAAAAACATGTGGTGACATAAAACCCCTCGGGGATGTCAGCCACTAATGAAACTAAGGTCAAAGTCATTGTTGAAGAACCATTCAAACGTGATGGAATTGCGATCAGCCACTATAACTGTTATACAAACACCAGCAGAGCAAAGTTTCGACTATGCCTCATGATGTAGCTGCGCAACTGCAGGAAAATAGAGGAAGAGGCAGGGGATGGGAAACCAAGCACCAATAAAACCGAATTTCAAATGTTTGAACCAATAAAAGGATAAAAGGATAAAGCATTTGCCGTTGATCAATCCCTTTTTGGGATGCGGCACGCATTCTACTTCCATTTGTACATTCGTAGTGGCGTTTGAATGCGATGTGGCCTATACAATGACTTGCGGGGGCCAGCCGATGTACAAGTCAGTGTTTTTATCCTCCCAGACAAGTCTGGTACCAATTAACCGACCCCGGAGGGATGGAAGGCTTGGCCCGGGCGACTCACGACCCAGGATTTGATCCCCGGACCGCTCGCGTGGTAAGCGCGCCACTTGCCACTACACCACTTCCGCCCCAATTCCAATGTATGTCATAATGCGACAAGACCCTGCACTGCACAACATCCAGTTTGTGGCAGAGTCTAGGAATCCCCTCCACGTGAAATTGACCTCACAAGTGTGAAGAGTATACGCTGATGAAAGGCCCTCGACATCTACTGCTGCACAAAGCAGGTGATGACAAAAGGATAATATAGCTATATTCAGGGTGGGTTCTTGTTACTGAAACCAAATATTATAAGTTCTCACAATTAGTGAAACAATCACATCACGACATGTCAAGCCTCAAATTGAACCGACAAGGGGCTCTGCGACAAATCTAGCGACGTTTAGCGTAACAAAGAAGATATTATGGGTGATGGTTAAACGCTTCAATAAGTTAGGAACCACCTAAGACGGAAAGGAGATTCGAAGGATACAGCTACTACCAGGACAAATATCAAACGCAGAAATTCGTTCTCCTGCTTGCGACTTTTGTACCGCGAACTTGAAAAAAATGATGTGAAAGCCACTTTAGCACTTAGATCCAATGCATTTCGTGGACAAAAAGCCACTTGACGGCATCACTTTGATTGTTTCGGTAGGACAAGCCATCTAGTATAATGCGGAAATCCTACAAAAAGAGTTTTTTTCGTGTTCGCAATCTTCTAACAGCTGTTATCTAGGACTCTCCCAACGACCTCGGCTGAGTTTCTGCATGGTAAGCCTACATTCAAGAGCAATCTAAAACCTCGAAAAACAGAGTCCTCGAAGAGAGCACAACAAAAACATGTGCTCTTTGACGGGTCTTACCTGCGTGGCACAGTGTAAGTATCCCACTTATTCGTAGGCCTGTATCAATGCAATATTAACAGATTTCAAACCCAACCCATCCTTATCTGTAATGCTAGTGGACAACATCTTTTTGAGGTGGACTTTTTTATAAGCTAAAATGCGTTTTTAGTGTATGATGTCTTGGTTACCATAATTGTGTCCCATCCTAGGTCTACATTGGTTCTCAGTTACAGGCATCCGCAGATTTATCAAAATCACCCTAGATGGAACCAAGCACAAAGCAAAGGAGAACTTGAGAACATCAGATGGAGTCACGGCAATTCAATCATAAAAGGAATGGTGAAAGCTGCGATCCAAAGAGGCGAGATAATATAAAAAAAATCACTATCATCTGGAAACGCAAACTGGAGAGAACACATAAAAAGTAGCATAAAGTAGACATCTACCTGCTTCACTTTTATCAACCTATCCGGATCGGGGGCTGGACGCTTGTCGCTTGTTGTTAAGAGCCACCACTGTTTTACTATGTTGCCGGCCTAAATAAGCAACATCCACTAAAAAAATTTAACAGCTTGCAATGCACATCGTGTCAGATCTTCCCAAGTTTCGGATTTCACTTATAAAGGACTATAAGTTCCTGGGGGAAGTCACGTCAGTGTCTCAAAATTTATTCTGTGTGATTAAAGTAGGCGTTAACCCTTATGACTACAGGACCCATTTTGTCTGCGGATGGTTTCATGAGGACTGAGTGCTTGGGAAACCACATTTGACCGACAAAAAATATGTAATTGACTAAAAAGAAGTAAAGCATAAGTCTTCACAATTTATTACTGACCTTTCTCGAAGCATCTGCAATTTTCGTGACAATCGGTGGCTCGTCCTCTTTGACCATAGCAACTGAACAAAACCTAAAATCCATATCAAGCAGATGAGAAGCCTACATTGATTTTGAACTTGAACACATACTGAAAGAGCCTCCAATAATAAATCGAGAACCACAAAAGAAAGACAGGAAACTTACGCACAAGGATGTCCGACGTGCAACGTGTTCGAAGGGCAAATGCAGACCACACCCATCGTTTACGTCTCCTTGCGTTAGAAGGAGTGACATAGTAGCGTACAAGAAATAGATAGATTCGATGTACATCCACCGGAAGGCAAATGGTGGTTCATAGGGGGATCCTCTACAAAACCGTGGACTAAGAATAGCATCTACAGGGTGCTCATTTCTAAAGCAATCTTTCTTTGACTCCAGGTTTTGCTTCACATCAAGTGCTTCCGTCACAAACTGACTGTATTTTCACTAAAAATTAAGCGCTAGGTCTGTCAGTGTCTGTGTGTCTTTGCGAAATTTGGTTACTACCTAAAGAACCGCCTGGAGGACCCGGGTCAAGTATGGGAAGGGTAGGGCATGATATAGGGCGTAAGGAGCACGCATCAGGTAGGTGGAACCAGGCTTACAGCCGAAGGGCATGTTCCGAAATGGGCGGTGCCAACAGCAAAAAGTTCAATTTTGCTTCCAGGAGAGCCCACAAATAGAAGAATTTTCGAAAATGTGCATTGAGCTGTTATGGAGCGTTCATAGTTGGCGATCGTACGTGCGATTAGGCGATTAGGCGAGTAGGCGATGATTCAAAATGAAAAGTATACGATCGATTAGGCGATTAGGCGAGTAGGCGAGTAGGCGATTAGGCGATAGGCGAGTAGGCGATTAGGCGAGTAGGCGATTAGGTGATATCTGGATTGTATGCAACACTTTGACAAGATCTGCTTTTACCAACTAGTAGTCTAGTGTATGGGTGAGAAGCTAATATGCATGTGCGCCTCAATTTTGACGACTAAGGAGTGCGCCGTGTGCAAATCGCCTAATCGCCTAATCGCCTACTCGCCTACTCGCCTAATCTATACGTATATTTTTCATTTAGACTAATCGCCTAATCGCCTAATCGCCAACTATGAACGCTCCATTAGGTCGAACGAGGAGATCAACCTGCGTTAGGCCGTGCATCAGTAAAGAATAAATGATTCGATTATGATAAAGTCCGCTATGCAAAGCAGAATTGTCGGTGTGGAAGAGCAGTGCCTGTAGACACAACCCAGGCACAAGGAACGGTTCCCTTCGTCTCTACGAAAGGGCAGACCCCTAGATAGTAATATTTATAACATATCCTTTTTTTGGAGCAGGCCCCATCTATTTGGAAACATGCAGTTGTCACACCCATTCCTAAGTCCAATGACTCCAACCTTGTCTCGAACTTCCGACCCATAAGTATCTTATGTACCCCCCTGAAAATACTGGAGAAATAGTTAAGAGCTACCCCAAAACCTTCTCAATCTAGCCGTAGAGAGAATGGTCAATTGGTGTACCCAATGGGGACTCAATATCAATCGGAGTAAAACCCATCTTCTCACATTAGGGTTGCCTCAATTAGAAATCTGCTTCCCTGATGGAACTCCAATTCAGAATGTGACAATACAGAATCTGTCAAAGAGCCTGAAGTGGAGCGAACACATAGAAATTGTTTCTAAAAAGGGCCTCAGACTAGTCCACATGCTGTTCAGAATATACATAGTTCCGAGGCTACAGTCTGGATTAAGCTCTATAAAATGTACGTTTTACCCATAATAGAGTACTGTAGCCCCGTTTGGAACCCTTCTTCAGTTGGTGATGTTCAAAAAATAGAACGAATACAGCGGACCTTTACTAGGATTTTATTTTATAGAGTTTTTCCTTCCAGAAATTACCCACAGTCGTTACCAGGGTATCAAGAACGTCTGAAGAAACTGAACTTGAGGTCTCTTTACTATAGACGGATTCAATCAGATCTAATTTTAGCATTCAAGCTTCTGAAAGGTGAACTTCGCATCAAGCCATCGACTTACTGGACGTTTCTGCCCGCATCAGGCCGAAGAGGATCCTTTCGTATTCTTAACCACAAGATGGGCAAGTGGCGTCGTGAACTATGGTTGAACAGCTTCACTGTAAGAACTGCGAAATGGCTGGAAGCTATGCCTTTTCGGCTCCTGGAACTTACTGACTCCAACCAATTTAAAAGAGCCATTAAAAAGATGAATGTTCTCGAGTCACTTGGCATTCCTGATGTTGTTTGATGTTAAGCTAGCGCTCATCCTCATTTTCACTTACTTGTCTATTGCATCACTCGAATAATTGCTCTCCAAATCAGTTCTCCTGTTATGCTCTCGCATACTGCCGAATCTTCCTCACATTGATCCTGTCTGGACTCATACCCACCACATTTATTCAAGATATCTACAGGTTACTTGATGTTCCGATGGAAGTTTTTCTCCTTATCGAGTACCAACGGTTTGGTGGCTGGATGGACACTCCGGGCGCATGCATGTAGGTCAGACTTTATACTCTCCTAGCTTACCGTTTCCACGAGGGAGGTCGGTATACCCGTGTTTCGAAGTTGCGGTAAGCTCCTATGACCCCTGCTGTGGCGAGTGGGCACCATAGCCGACTGGTGCAGGTGGGTATCTTGTACTGGCTTACGCGCATGCGCGCTGGAGCGGACACGGCGTCACTGGGCCGTATTGGTCACGGGATGAGCAGTTACACCACCATCTAAGCAGCAAGAACCTTTCCTCCACGCGTTTGGACACTACCCTAGCTCAATCTCTATATTTTTTGGCATGCCATTAAGTTTCTAAGAATTAGGTTTTTTGTTAGGATCCGTTTCGTTAGTAGTTTTGATTTTTGATCTGCTTAAGTTCACTGTTACTATACAACTATGCTCTGTTTGATCCTCGGCTAGTTCCGATGTATTACAGAAGCGCGTCGGTCGACGCACACTAAATAAATAAATAAATAAATAAATAATAATCAACATATCGGCACTCCCTTGGAGCGGAAAATTACTTGCGCAGGACGCTACAGCCGTCTTGCAAGTACAGGATGCCTGAAGCTATGGATTTGTTTCTACAGACCTGTGTCCTGGTTGCTTTTTCCTGTTGGCGCACACTCTCTTCTCAATATGGCTCCTCTGCTACACCTAGTCTCTCATTGCCTAGCCACTAGCTGATTACGAGGGCGAGGGTGCTCTTGAACCGAACGTTTACAACAAACTTTTTTCTCTTTTCTCGGCTCCGACCCATTCCGCACCAACGCATATGTATTCTTAATGACTAACGAACACCACCACCCAATTTGATGTTGGGCGCATGCTTCAACGTGTATCATGCTCAACACCCGACACGGCGGCGATGCAGTATGGCCGTTAGCCCGTTGCGTAGTCGGGCAGTATCAAGTCACGACTCCCGCAATCCGCCATGTTTCGCCAAATTGAAGCAGCTAGCAGCGGAGCAGGAGCCTCTAGCCCAGCCTCGCCCTCCTTGAGAGTCACTCTAGACTCCTCCCCCTCCCTAAGTCTCTTAATCCTACTTTCTTCTTCTCCCTAGCATTAGCAAACGCGGTCACAGCGTTCGCTGCCTTTGTGAGTCGTCGCCACTTTGCTATGCCCTGGGCACCTTCTACCGTGGCCGTGACCTCACTCAGGTCTTTCTTGAAAACGTCTTTCCACCTTTCTTCGGGGCTCCTCGCGGTCGCTTGCCTTGTACTTCGAAGTCCATCGCTGTTCTTATCGGATGGCCCTGTGGCCTCCTTAGCACATGCCCATACCATCGCAGACACGTTTGAGTAGACTATCACCGCTTGTTTCTTCGATAGCACACTGTTCTCTGTTCACATCACTGCCCCACATGCCAACATGGATGGTCAATCGTAGAATCCACTAGTAAGTCGACTTGAACATAACGGTGTCAGATCGTGTTTGGAGCTGAATCGGGCTCAAGGCACGTGTGGACCAAACTCTACATTTTCGGATCTTCACAAGTCTTTGGAGATGCCACAGTGCTGTCTCCTTGTCGCATCGGAATCGCTCTAGCAAATGATCGATACTCTATCCAGATCCCTTTTCAACAGCGTCAGATAGAGCATCGTGATTGTCAGTCACAGGGTGGTTGGAGTGTGGGTTATTTCAAATAAAAAGTCAACGCTGAGCAGAGTGAAGCGCCGTTGCACCGTGGTTTGAGAGAGCGTGCCCTCGCCCATCTTCTGGCTAATCCTTGGTGTAGCATGACTTGCGGAACATTCCAAGCAGTACTCGTAAAAATCAAGGGCTCCAAGAGCTTTTTGCGAATAGCTGTACCAAGTAGCGAGGTAGCGAGATATCGAGCTGGTCGGTTGGCTGGAATTGCAGAAGTGGATGGTACCTCAACGAATATGCTACGGAGTTTCCAACCTAATATATGTAGATTTATGAACTGGAACTGCAGCAAACTAACGATAAGTAGGGCATTAGAAACGGAGAGGAAGAAATCCGAATCTCATACAAAATACAGCTTTCATTTCTACAAAATAACAAGAAAATCATGTTTTATATGACTAGTTCAAAAAATTAATTTTTTTGACTCATATTATTCACAACACGGGGTTATGCTAAGCGATGAGATTAAGAAGAATGAGAATTACTTCTTGTTATTACGATCCCAGCCACATTATAAAGATCAATGTTACGAAAGTGAAAAGTTGAATGATTATCTTGGTAGTAGTATTATTATGCAAACTAAAATGATTTCCTATCACTTGATGAGCTAGAAGCTACTATCGGCCGAAAAGAACATACAGTGACTATCAAAACCACAAAAATGATAAAGACGAAGTTTATCTGGCTCGCCATTTGTGCTCTTCCATTTCCTCTGCGATAAATTCCAATACAGACTTCACGACGTCACTTGTCTTGAAATAAAAGTTGGGATGAACACAATAAATAAATCATTTTCCGTACTAATACCTTAGCCGTTCCACCAATATCAGGAGTGTGAAGCCGTTTCTCCACCAAGGTGCGGTACAACGAATCAGAAATCATGTTGGCATGGTGGTTCAATCCAAGATATCTGGAAACAGTTTCATTTGTGAGAGGATACCTTGGAAGGAGGTGAAATAGGAAAAACATTAATTTTCTGCTTTAATCATAGACAGCATGCGCATTAAAGCAGCTACTTTTACATTTGATCTGCGGATGACAAAAACGAAACAGAAAGTCACTGTTGGTTAATTCGAGAAGTTTTGCATATAATCTATTGAAACCATGTCCCGACTTTGTTGCGATATGGGAAGCTCAAAACCTACCGGAGCATGTCAGCAGACGCTCTAATAAAAGCAGTTGGATTAGCAGCGTCTTTTCCAGCCAAAGAAGTGCCAGTATTTCGAGTTCCCTGTAATAGTTAGATATGAAGATGAATAGTGGTGCGCAGTGGATAAGCCATAATATACTGAGTTCAATCTGGATTAATTAATCAAATTTGCGTTTATTTATTCATTCATAAAATAGAACTCGATGTTGGTGCTATTTCCATTATTCGTTTGGCTTGAATCAGAACCAAAAAAGCAAATATTGAGAATAAAACTGCAATTACTACGCGCATCAAAGGCAAATTGAAACAGCGAAAGAAAAAGACAGTTGAACTGCCAATTTTAAAATGGCACCACAGTCTGCACTGACGCAAAGAGAATGCGCGAAAGGTTTTGGAAAAAATTCCAAAGTGTTATTATGGATCTAAAATAGACAGCCACTAAAACTAAGCATCCTATTCTGAACTTCCCTTAAGGACATGAGCGCCTTCCATGGATCGAAAATGTGTGCTTAGAACGAAACAATGAAGATGTTTCAAGGGATTAGGCAAAGCGGCACACCTGTACCGAGTGTTCTCGACGTTAAAAAGAAACCAAAGGGAAACGGTCTTAAATCCGCAAAATGAGGCCCTTAGTTTCCCCGTTGGGAGGCTCTTATCGGTGGACACCATAACGCGCTCTTTTTCCTCTTGCTTAAAACAGCTGAAGTTCGACTGCACGGGACCAGCAGCTAGAATAGCCAAATGGATGTCGAGTAGAGGCAGGGAAGCGTCTAAAGGAAGTTGAAGCCTTATTACGTCGCTAAGGAAGGCTGGTGCACCACGGAATTGCCACCTTTTCGTCCTTTATGGGCCAGACTTTGTTTATAGTAAGCATATAAACATCATTCATCATCAACGGCATCCACTTTGACTGCTTTTGAGCTATTCACATCACCTTCGTCGTAAAATGCTCCAATTACAAAATCCTAACATAAAAATTGATAACCAGCGAAGACAAGTTTCCCATAGCAGAACACATCGCAAAATAAAAACAAGTATAATATTTTTAATAATTTCAGAGGACTCACAGTCTCAAATACTGCATACTCGTTCCCAATATTCATTCCAGAGACTAGTCCCGGACCTCCGACGAGACCACAAGCGATGTTGGAAATAATGTTACCATAGAGATTTGGCATCAACATAATATCGAACTGCTGAGGTCGAGAAACCTGCATTGGAAAAATTGAAGAAACTTAATGGAACACTTTAACTTCATTTAGTATGAGAGCACTCAAACTGCTAGCGAACAATCCAATAAAGAGGAATTGATTAGTAAAGCAGCACGAATCTATTCTCTGCACTGACAAACTTAGTTTCTTCTTTCTGCCATGTATGAGATGAGTATGGCTCTGTTTGACCAAAAAGCCCACCTAAATCAAGTGGACTCAGAGAGATGATACGGCATCCGACTAGTGCACCCTTCATGTCAGTGACACCTTACAGGCCGTGAAAATGAGCAAGTTAACACTTCCACGCGATTTCGGGAAACGCCATCTGTAAGCGAACTGCGCTCATAGTATCCCGTTTTCTTTTCTGCGCATGATCGTCGCTTGAAGACGGTAAAATGAAGCAAAGAAAGAAATGTAGTATAATATCTACACAAAATTCAAGCAAACCTACAAAAAAAACCTATATTGGAAAAATCAATTGAATCACATGAACGCGATATAGCACCCCACCACACTAATTCCTGACTAGATCGAGACTCCTGACATTGATGTTGCGCCCAAGGTCCCAAAACAAAATTCTGCATGTGGAGATCCCAATGATAAACAGGATAAAAATATTGTATGTGAGATGTATCTGAGCTCACCAACTGCATTGATGCGTTGTCAACAATCATCGAATCAAACTTGATTTCTGGATACTCATTCTCACCGATTTCCTTGCATACCTATAAGACTTCACGAAATTAACCCATCATTATAAAAGGAACTTAATGAAGTACAACAGTACCTTCAGGAAGAGACCATCTCCCAGCTTTTGTATGTTGGCTTTATGAACAGCAGTAACTCTCTTCCGGTCATATTTCTTTGCATATTGGAACGCAAAACGAGAAATACGCTCGATTTTAGTTCGTGTTACAATCTTCAATTGGGGATTTCAATTCATAAACTTAAACAGAAGAAATGAAAACGAACCTTCAGGCTTTCAACAATCCCTGGTGTGGTCTCATGCTCGAGGCCGGAATACTCACCCTCGGTATTTTCCCGAATAATGATCATATCAATGTTCTGAAAAATTTTAAATTGTGGGGACAATGCTATTCTTTTACATTTCTGAGAGCGACCAAAAAAAAGGGGGTTTCAATAGGTGTAAAAACAAAAGCTAAAAAGGAACGTACATTGTGTCTGCTAGGAACGGAAGGAATTGTACAACAGTGAAGGACGTTAGCATATAAGTCCAACTGCCGCCGCAATTCCACGTTGCGCGATATAAATTGCGGATCATCGAATTTTGTTTCGATATTTCCCTTAAAAACAATAATGTTGGAATTCTCTAGTTGAATCGCATAGCGTGATGATTCAGTTCGATGTTAAAAGTATTTTATAAAGCAGTGGCGAAATGGTGGAAAGAATTCACTGCTAAATCTTTGCACTGAGCTTTTCCATCACCTACCTTTAGCGCTACACCGTTCCTCTTGATAGCTGTTATTGCTTGACTGAGATCGTCAACAGATTCTGGTTTCGATGACAAATGCACCCTCTCAAAGTCGACAGGTACCTAGAAAACTTTGCTTGCTTTCAGCATTCAACATAATTCAGTGCCCCACATAAATTGCTACAATGCAAACTCTACGACTCGAACATGGCACTGGAGGATGAAGATCCTCAATAAAGCTCCATTTTAGTGTGCATCCTGCAGCAGTGGAAGCCCAACCAGATCGAGAACTTTACCAATTTTCAACGTTGCGATAGGTCAATAGTGTTTAGTTAGCGTTGCGCTCTAATGCCCATGCTCTCAAAGAAGAGGTCAACGAGAGAAGCTCATTTTATATTGTCGAATCTAAGGAAATATATGGTCGTGAGCTATTAGTGTAATTAGTTGCTTTCCCTCCTATCCTAGGAACGTTGCAGAAGTTCGTAGGATAGGAGGGAAAGCAACTAATTACACTCAAATTCACACCAATCAAACCAAGGTATATAAAAATAAACATGAACAATAAAGTTCAGTTAGCATAAAGCAATGCAGAAAGAAAAAAGGCAACATGAGCGGCTCTTTTATCTGCCTCTATTAAATTTGAGAGCTGTTCATTTTTCAATTCAAACACTTGAAGGCACCAGATTTGACCGATGCGAAAGGCAGCCCATTGGAAATTATGGTAGAGATGGTCAAAGATGCACGAAAGAAAAAAAGCCTAGAACCTGAGAATGAGACCCTTTTCATTGCCCTTTGAATTGCGCATTGATGGGATTCGCATCAGTGCTCCTCTTCAAAGCTAATGCTCTCTCTGCTAAACGGCTAGAGAATCATACACAAGAAGCGAGAAGGAAGGGGAAAGGCGAAAGCGCGACCAATTGAGCTATCGCGAGAAAGACAGCTTAATCGCCGGCGGCATATCTTCGAGCGGATAATCGTGGTCGATCCGCACGTTAGGGAAGGTCCGCCTGTCTCACTAGGTATGTGTCCTTCCTCGCCTTTTCCATCGTTAGGAATCTCCTGGAAAAACATAGACTCTCCACTTTTTCTCGAAGAATGAGGCGGGAGAAGCTGGAATTGTAAACACAGAGTAATGAATCATTCCAAAAGGCATTAATTCGGTGTGAATGGGCTTCAAATTTGAAGGAAATAGTTTTATCTCTCGTATACCTGCACCTACGTCCTCGTGTATGGCCAATTCCTGCTGAGTTTTTGAGGAAAGCGTCAGAATCAAAATCTACAAGACCGGGTAAAACTTATAAATAGTCATAATCGAATAACTTTCTTCTCAGCTCAAGAGGGTTTCTATGGCATAATTTAGGCTACAAAAGGCGCCATCCCATAAGACCACATTCCAAACAGAATGGGGCGAACATAATTGACAAAGTGGAAACAATGACCATGGCTATCTGAAGAAAGAAGAAGCGTCGTTTAACAACACTCTCTGATATATGCCAGGTGTATTACTTCGGTAGTATACTAGCTGAAAGACAAAGAAACAGAACAACAGGGACACACAGAACAACAGGGACACAAGAACATACACCTCTGAATGTAATACATCAAGTTCTTTCAGCTCAACGCCACTACCGAAACATGGGAGTGGACGCATGTGGAGGACACGCCCGTGACAATCGTTATAAAAAATGCAAGCTCTTTCTTATTTGGCAGCACATCTAGGGCATTAGAAGCACCTCAACAGCAGAACAATACATATGACACTCCGACGTCAGCGCAATGCATGATGCATAGCATTACGAGAGGAAGAGAAATCAGGCAAAGGGGTAAAGGCATCGAGGAAACTCTAAAGCTCTTTCCATACGATCTCATTGAATCGCACGTACAGTTTTGCTAAATTCTGGCCATGAGCGCGGTTAAAGACGACCCTGATGGGTAACTGTTGGGTAGAAAAACCACATGTATAAAATGAGTAGAATAACTGATATTCAGAATTCTTTTAAAACGCCATAAAGAAAGAAAAGATGCAATGCAATATGAGTAAAGATGGGTGTGGTCACTTAGAGCAAAAAGTAATGTTCTACTTTTAGCAGGACATGGTTTCTAGCAAAAGCATGCTTCGCACTGCTTTTAAGCAAAACATTTCGCTATATGTCTAATACACACCACGTTGTACAAAATGCTTTAACAGGTCAATATAAGCAGCAAAAGCCGTTCTTCTGCTGGTGGCGTACTGCCATAAGGCAACGGGCAAAGAAGTGCTGAAACTCTCGATTTTTTGTGGAAGGAAAACCATATTGACATGGCGACAGAAAAACATCGATATAAGAAAATCCCTGATCAAACCACCACATCATTCCATCACTTTACTGACTGAAAAAGTGGAGCGGACAGGTCCATAAATCGGAACAGGGAGAAACGATTTTTTCGTTACTTTTTTTTCCCTTCTTGTACGAGCAAGCTAGCTCACCTCCTGATTTCCCCTAACAAATATGGGATTAAGGCTGCGAATACGAGCTATTTCAACGCTATTGCTCTTCCAACTTAAGCACTTTCAGATGAATATGATATAGAATCTAAATTATACGCAAACGAATAAGGGAAAGATTACCTGCGCAAAACTGAAAATTTTCGCCACATGTTCGAGCATCTCTGGACCAATGCCATCTCCAGGAAGAACTGTTACACTGTGACGGCCACCATATCGGTTCAACTTTCGCCTGAATCTATGTGGTGAAAATTTTAGCCTGGACAAGCAGAATGACTGCAGGTTTGACGTGTAGATGCCAAAATGCACACTACGCCGAGACTGTTCAATACTGATGATCGAAATTCAAATATCGGTGTGTCAAGCTGAGCTAGCCCTAGCGATGGTACCACAAGATCATGAGCGTATGGCTTGACATAAAGTACGTGCCGCGACCATACCTGAGAAGCAATCAATGTGTGTCACGTCAAAATCCTTAACTGTCAGGGTGTGGTTCGCTTAGACAGAAAACGGCAGATTGGTTATCGCGTTTCGCGCCCGAAACTTTTTCGCTGCGGACTGGCGCTTCCATTCATGATCAGCGATGGACCTGAGGTCTGCACCGAAAAATGTTTCGCATTGCGACACGCGAAAAAGTCGCTTTCTCCCCTAGTGAAACACACCCCAACTGGGAATCTAACATGATCCAGAAAATGCATGCATAACTGAATAAGCTCCGGAAAATGCGCTTCCTACTTCCTTGATATGAATGAAGACATGTCATAAAATTAACAATAGCAAAAAACGACAGAAGGAGAAAATATCTATGATGTAAGAAAGAATACAACGCCTACAATTGCCAGAGCTCTCCAGTACATCTTAGTTAAATCAGTATTACCACCGACGCCAGTCAACCGTCAACTGTTTTTTGTGCATAATCAATGCGCAGAAGCGGTAACTCGTCGACTGTGCTGGGATACAGACGACATCCCATAAACGACGCCAATATGTACACTCTGTTTCATGCAGCCAGGAACCCACGTAGCACACTTGGCTTACATTCTCGCCTCTAGGGTGACATTAAGCAGGGTGAATAACGGTCGAGGAAATCCTCGACAGGGGGTCGTATTTGCTCCGATGAGAGTTGGGAGGGGGTCGTAATCAAAAGGTTCATCAACGGACACAACGGTGCTGCTGCCACTTATTTGCTGTCATCATTAGTTTCACAAGTGTTGTAGTTAGCCTAATGCAAATAATATCTTACAACTGTCTGGAATTAAAATTTAAATGGAAAGTGGTTGTTGGTTTGGTTCGTAGTGATCAGTATGGCATAGGAAGGCAACGCGTCCTGCAAAAGAATCGTAGGGAAAGGGCAGCGAGTATCTACTCTAGAATGATGTACATGCTTCGAGAACTTAGTGGAGGAACAGCATCTTGGTAGAAAGTTCAAAACAGGCAGATTCGCAGCCTTCTTGGCATCATCAGATCCTGCAACCGCAAGCGTGTCATTCATCAGAACGGGTTGGAAAGAAGCGATTTCTTAAAGCAACAGTCCAGGCAGGGTTTCAACTACTTGGTCATTAGGCGGTCAAAACATGCCCCAGCCCAACTAAAGTTTATAGGAAATGTCTTTAATTTCAAAACCTACCTCTAAAATGCGCTGGAAGGGGTCGAAGTCCTCTTGGAGGGGGCGGATCACCCATAAAGAGGCGGATCGCCCAACATACGCTGTGCAGAGTCCGCGCTTGACTAGCGGTCGTTGCGGGACCGCCGCGCTGTATGAGGTCGATTCCATAAGAACGCAATTGAAGCGCTTCAATTTCGATTGCTGGCAAATAGTTATGTATTTGCAAGCATGCAGCTATTTGCCAGCAGTTGCAATTAAAGCGCATGTACTACGGGCAGGTTCGGACAACTCGTCCAACACACGTCTCCCTAAACGGCAGGGCATGTCCCTGTCTAAGCCCCAGTTGGGCGTTTTCTTCACTTTTTCTCTTTACGTTCGACCACTTTTCACCTACAACTTCCATATAGGTGCTTTTGGCCCGCAAATTCGTTCCTGGACTGTTGCTTTAAAAGGTTAAGTAACTTCACGCTGGAAAGCTGCAACCACTTCATTTCAAATATAAGTTCGCGATGTTGAGTGGTACACTAAAGAAGGAAAAACCATGCGAAACGGCCCAGAACCTGAGAAATGGGACCACTTCCTTGCCCGTTGATTTGAGCATTGATGCGACTATCATCGCTGTGCCCTCTTCAACGCTACGCTCTCTCACCTATCTAATCACTCACCACGTATAGACCTGCGGCGAGTGATCAGATGATCGGTGGGCGTGCACTGACCAGCCGCGGCGGGATTAAACCTTAATAGGTCAACGAGGTCAACTCCTCCTGTGCAAATTGTGCTTCAGTTCGCACACTTAGGAGCTCCGCGGGTCCCTCAACCAGGTGAATTCTTCCTAATTCGATTTTCCCTCTGATCATGAATGATGTACATGCTTCGAGAACTTAGTGGAGGAACAGCATCTTGTTAGAAAGTTCAAAACAGGCAGATTCGCAGCCTTCTTGGCATCATCAGATCCTGCAACCGCAAGCGTGTCATTCATCAGAACGGGTTGGAAAGGAAGCGATTTCAATAAAGGAATGATCAGACATCACTATGACCACAAGAGTTATCCTAATTAGTTAATACTGGAAATATCTTTTGGTGTGATTAAGCAAGTCGTCACTAGGACAAAACACCTTCCCAATGACTCCGAGTGGGGTCACTGCATGGCGCATACAAGAACGGAATGGATCCTGCGCCAAGTGCATCATTTTCAATTTACTCCATCGAACTTTACGTGATAGGCGTTTAAAGAAGTTCATTACTACGGCGAGGGAGAATAGAGTTTTCAAGTGGCTTCGAAAACTTCCTTGACATTTCCTCGACGCAGATTTCTCGCGAACTAGAAAGCGTTCAAAACAACTAGAGCACCTATCAGAAAGCGTAAATCTTCTACTTTACAACGCTTTCCTCCGATTTTCAAAGCATTGCCAATGAAGACAGCTACTGTCTTCCAAAGAGTGGGAACTCGCATGTAAATTTCAATTTCCTCGACAATTCCTCGACGTCTCCCACTCTCGAGAATAGGTGTGCTTAGAAAAACGCTCAGCACAATTTAGAAACTAGAAGTCTTGTGCATTCAAAAGCTGCCTTCACTTTCTGAAATGGTTATCAATGAAGAAAGTTATAGTCCTTTAAATAGGGGGTACATTTGACGATTTTTCCAACTAGCGCGCTCTAGGCACAGCGCGCGACGCGATCGCGGGTAGTTAGCGCCGCTATACTGGAGCGCGAGACTGTTCAACTGTGTAGGGGCAGTACCTCCTTCAATGTTCTACTTTCCGGCCAATGTGGCAAAGGTTAAATGTCTTCAGAAGGAAACCATTAATCTTGAGCAGATTGAATCTAGCATTTGGATCAAAGCGCATTTGCGTGGCAGCGGCGCTGCGTCCCTCTCGCACATCTGAAACTAGCATTTTTTTGATGAAACCGGATGTGCAGAGGACAAAAAGGGGTCGTATCAGAGTCCATGTTTTGGAGGGGGGTCGTAAAGAGGCGGTTATTTCCTCGACACGATTTTCACCCTGGTCCCTCATTGGATATATACAGGGTGTCCCAAAATTATGGGCGCCGAAATTCAAAAATTTGTTTGGCAAAAGTACTCGATTATTCTCCCTTCATTTGCTGATGATTAGTTACACACAAAGGTCCTCTTGTAACCTGTTTGATTGTAGGTGTGAAATCCCTACTATCTTCAGGAGGGCGGGAGGTCTTTCACTGCGACCTGCGATCATTCGCATGCACGAGGCGGATACCCCAATGAAGGACAATGTCAAATATTTTGTAGTTTCCACAAGGGTTTACGGAAGGTTATCCTACAATACTAGGAAACAGCGTCTATTATGAATAGGAACGCTATAGGAGATGGTTTAGAAAGACGGGGCCGCATTGCTGTCGAACGGTGTCTGAAAGGTTCCATTCTCAAATTGACCGCGACCCACGACGCTCCTTCAGAAGAATGGCGGAGGAGCTGGAGGAATCGAAGTCATCGATGGGAAAGGTAGTCAATGAAGAACTACATAGCCGTTCCTACCATACGCAGGAGTGCCAGCTCATTTTCGATATCAACAAGCAGCAGAGGTCAAAGATTGCAGAAGGTTGCTTACCGCCTCAGTGAGGGCACGCACTCTACCACCTTTTCTTATAAGGAAAAAATTTCCATAGCAGAGCGGATTGGCAATAGCCAGAAAGATTGCATTCCGGGCAGAAAAATGTCAGGAGTGCTACTCCACGCTAAAAGATTGTTTGCAAATCACCGAACTCGGTCTCAATTTCGGTTTAAAGGAACACCACGTCCAGTGGGTAAGGGGCCGTTAGTTTTCCTTTGATTTCGGTAAGTTCATCAGCAAATCCGGACACTTGAGGTGAACGTAATGAAGGCTCGGCACGAGTCCTACCTTGGAAATAACCCGAGTTGTTTCCAGCAGAAAAGTGCTCAGGCCTACATGGCCAAGTTCCTCCAAGTGTGGTGCCGAGTTCAGTTGCCCGACTTTGCTGGCACCGAGGAACGGCCGTCATTTTCACCAGGTTCGCGCCCACCTTCTTAGTGTGGTCGTTGAGCGAAAGTGAGGTGTGTCAAGTTCTTCGTCACAGTTCGAGTCACTGGAAGGAATTGAAGGAAGCTAGAATAGACGGAGAGGTCTGCGTGTCACGTGCGCAAAGCCTAAGAAGCGACTTCGAGCTTGCATTAGTCGCGTTGGAGAGTATTTCGATATCTAGTTGTTCCACATTGTTGGGGATGATGCAATTCACCTTATGTGTAAATTCAGTCAGCATCGTCCATTTAGAAGCTTGAAATATATTGCTGTGTGTAGGCGCCCATAATTTTGGGACACCCTGTGTAGTCATGATTTTCGTTAAGGACTTCGTATAAAGTAAAATTCACACGAAACGTACAAGAAATGACCAGGCATCTTATTATAAGAAATGGCTTATCTAACATGGTGGCGGCGGAGGCCACATCGCACAACCAATCCTGAACAAGTGGGACCGGCTGGGCTTTGGAGTGATGGTACGTACATCTAACTCAACAGAACCTTGTTCTATCAAATGCCACTTTTCCGAGGTCCTTGATAGC